TTAGCTCACAGAGTCCTTTCAGCCACACTGGTGATCTTCCTTCTCTAGAAGAGGACCTTGAGGCCACAGAGGTCAGGAGGCTCAGTGGGCGGAAGCGTGGAGCCACAGCCAGCTGTGCATGCCCTCTGGCCTCACCATGAGGTTTCCGAAGGGTGATGTGCTTCATTCCCGACTCTCTCATGGGTGTTCGAGATATAGATGTGAATCATAGTCCGGGTCCCCAAGAGCCTCACGGTTTGGTAGGGGCTATAGTGGTGGTAAGATAGATTTTGAAAGTGTGTATGGTTGAGTCTCATTATTAACCATTATTAGTTTTGTCCTAACAAAGCTTCTGTGAACGTTGAATCAGCCACAAAATCACTGACCCAGAAGAAATACAGGGTTCTGTTCCTGGACGCTCTGGCCACAACATTTTTGTCAACCTATCTATCCATCCATAGTCTTGTTTCATGTTGTCTGTCAATATTTTTTTTTCCTTCTTCTTAAAGGGATTGAACCCAGGGCCGTCTACGTGCTAGGCAAATGCTGTACCACTGAGATACAGATCCCAGCTCTTTATATTGTATCTGGAGGCAAAATCTCACTGAGTTGACCTTGAACTGTGATTCTCCTGCCTCAGCCTCCCAGGTCTCTGGGATTACAGGCGTGTACCACCGCACCCAGCTCTATGTGTCTGTGTAAAGGCACCTTCTTCAGTATATACTGTTGAGTCATTAACATCCAACTTATGGCCAAAAGTAGAGGAATTCATGCCTGAACGAAGCTTCTCCAGTGTGTGTTTTCTTTGTAAGGCACATGGCAGCTACTTGGCTTAGCATTTCTGTATGACACTTGGGAACCATCAAAAGGCACAGTAACAGAAGAAAAAGAGGTGACCCTAAATCAACCATGGGGACTTTGTAAAGTGTATGACCGGAAACTGGAAATAGAGTATCGCTTTTCGTTTGGCCTTGGCTGGGGATACGTATGTCTGGAGACTCATAATTTGCGCTGCTCTGCAAATAAAGAGGAATGACCACGAAAACACCAAGAATTTTGATTTGGAGATTACAAATAAATCTTAACTAGTAAGCAAGTTTGCAAATATAGAATCCACAAATCAGGAGAATTGACTGTACCTTACCATCAACTGAACTAGAACACTGTCCCAGGAGAGGCAAATCTGCAGAAGGATTCATGCAGAGGTTTCTAGAGCAGGCGATGCCTTCAACCAGGGTTTGATTGACTTTCTCTGACGAGGGCCAGAGCGAGAATATTTTAGGCTTTGCCAGCCACACAGTCTCTGTGGCAGCTATTCAACTCTGCTTTTGTAGCACAAAAGTAGCCATGGATGATGCAGAACAAATGGGCATGGCTCTGTGCCAATAAAACTTTATGTTTGCATACTGACCTTTGAATTTCACATAATTTTCACGTCACAAAATAATCTTTCTCTTCTGATTTTTTTTTTGTTCCAACTATTTTAAAATGTAAAAGCCATTCTTAGCTCATGGGCCAAACAAAAGCATATGGTGGCCAGATTTGGACTGAAGGGTGGGGATTGCTAAGTCCAGTCTTAGGCGCTCTTAGGTAGGGAATGTGTACTAATTAAGGAAGTACTAGTTTAGGAAGACACTGAGGATAAAGTTAAAACACCTCCCGAAATCCCATGACCCATGGATTTGTGAACTCATGACACATAAATAATCCCGCCTAGGCACATCTGGCCACATGGGGTCATTCCTGTAGTCCTGTAATTCATTTACCCCCTGTGATTATGGGATTGTGTTGAAATCTGCCTGCCTCAAGGACAGATCATCATCGTATGTAATGGCCAACCTCGGCTAGACCATGCCTTACACTGCAGTCCTTGCTTTTATCCCGCAGCTTGTCAGGAAGGATCCAGGATAATTTTCCCATGCACTCACCCCAGGCTGGTGCAGAAAGGCAAAGATGAAGCACACCAGACCGTGCCTTCAGACACTTAGGATTGAATAAGTCACGCGGGCTACATGCATGACAGGGCTGCTGTGGCCAGAGTCATGGCTTCCCTGGTCAGAGTTCCAGAGCCGTGCAGGTTTGGAAGTGCAGGGGGGCTGCTGTCTCAGTGCAGGTGCAGCGGGTTCTCTGGCTTTCCTGGGTCAGCAGCTCTCTTCTTGGAGTCAATGACCAGGGAGGGCCTCAGAAGGGGCCCCTGAGGTCATCTTGGGCTGTCACCATCCCACGTGAGGGCAGTGGAGGGTAGTGGAGAATGGATGAGATGAGATGAACCATGGAGGAATGGATGAGTAGGTTTTTTTTTTTTCCTGACATTCTTTATTGATGATGATAGTTGTACCTACTGGTGGGATTTGTCGTTACTTAGCTGTTCATGCAGATCATATAAGTGTAATTTGGCCACTATCACTGCCCAGCACTTCCCCTCCATCTCCCACCCCCTGGCCCCTTTCCTCTGCTGATCTCCCTTTGATGTTTATGAAATCTGCTCCCCTCTTCTTGTTCCTTTTCCTCTCTAGCTGTCTCAGAGGAGAGAAAACATGTGTCCTTTGACCTTCTGAATTCGACTTATTTCGTTTAACAGAATGGTCTCTAGTTCCATCCATTTTCCTGCAAATTACGTAATTTTATTCTTTTTTATGTGGAATAGAACTCCTTTGTGTATATGTACCACGTTTCCTTTCCATTCATCCACTGATGGATACCCAGCCTGGTTCCAGAGTTTGGCTACTGTGGATTGCTTTGCTGTAAACATGGGTCTCTGTGCGTCACTGTAGCATGGTGACTTCAGGATAAATACTGAGGAGTGGTACAGCTGGCTCACATGTTGGTTCCAGGCCTCGTATTTTGAGGAACCTTCATATTGATGTCCACAGTGGTCATCTGAGTCTATAACCCCACTAAAAGTGTAAAAATGCCCTTTTTCCTCCACATCCTCTCCAGCATTTATTATCATTCATATTCTTAATAACTGCTTCCTGACTAGTGTGACCTGAACTCTGGGTGTAGTTTTCATTTGCATTTCACGGATTGTTAAGGAAGCTGAACATTTTTTTTCATGGATTTATTGGTCATTTGCATTTCTTCTTTTGAGAAGTGTCTGTTTAATTCATTTGCCCACTTACTAATTGAGTTATTTGATTTTTTTGGTGTAAAGTCTTCTAAGTTCTTTATGTATTCTAGATGTGAATCCTCTGTCAGAAGAGTAAAGATCTTCCTCCATCTGTTCGTTCTAGATGCGTAGGTCTGGGCAATACCAAGAATGCTCCCATCTGGTTCAGGAGCCGTTCAGAATTGCAGCGTTCACACAGCAAACTCCTCTTAGCTGCCTCTTCTTAATTTTTAAACACAGATAGATAGGACTTGGACACCACCTGCCTCCCTCAGCTTGACATCCGTCAGACAAGGGCCCTGCCTCGGGGCTTCCAGTGTCCCTGAACCAGAGATCACGCTGCGTGTGCCTGAACCACAGGTCACATTCCACTCCCGCATTTTCCAGAATCAGTGGTATCCTAGCACAGCTCGCCCTCTGCACCCCAGTGTTTGTAACCTCCTGAAAATAGGCAGATCCGTCTCAGAGATCCTTTCCAGAGTCCTGTTGTGCAGCAGCACAAAGACGTTGACCTCAGTCATGTTTATAACTGAACACATCAGGATTAGCTTTAATCTTTGGGCTCGGGAAGAGGCAGAGGCTCTGTACACATGTAAAAAGTCCATTTTGTAGTCATTTAAATGTGAAAACAATGGTTTAAGATGCTTACATTACAGGGAGGGTGGGGGTGGGAAGGCATAGGATGCGAATTGTCCCAGTGGCATGAAGACAGGAAAAGGAAAGGAAAAGATGCCGTAAGATGGGGAGGGGGGATAGTAGAGGATAGGAAAGGCAGCAGAATACAACAGTTACTAATAGGGCATTATGTAAAAATGTGGATGTGTAACCGATGTGATTCTGCAATCTTTGTAATGTTTTGAACAACCAATAAAAAAATAATAATAAATAAAAAAATGAACTAAATCCCTATGAACAACTTTAAAAAAAAAAAAAGATGTCAGGTCTTCTCAACCACAGGTCAGTGGACACGTCTCGATCAGCTGCTCTGTGTCGGGCACCAGGATAGAAGTCAGCAGAGGGTCCCTCAAGGAAATGGGCCTCTGCCTCTGTTTTTACCACGGGTTCCCCTGAAACCCTGATCTGAGCTGACCCCATCCCTACCCCACGGATCGGCGTCTTCATTCCACAGAGCACCGCCGTGTGGGACGCCTGCCCATCGCCAGAAGCAGCAACGTTCTGCGTGCTCATCACACTGAGCGGTCACAGCAAGGGAGTCCTGGAGAAATGCCAAGGGGGAGCTACCAAAGTGTTCCACGTGGACAAACCTTTGCTCCAGGTGCCAGCAGTGAAGCAGTGGGCACCTTGTTGGGGACCTCAGCTCTGCACCAGGATGAGAGGGTTCCAGTTGAGCAAGCCTCACATCCTCAGGACAGGCTGCTAGCGCTCTGTCTGGAGCCCGCAGGCTCCTCCCCCACTTAAAATTCTCTGGATCTGACCTCAGGAGGGACGGGCTGGCTCTGGAGAAGCTCTCCTTGTTCCTGGACAATCAAGTCTGATGCGTAATGATTATAGCAGAGGTCGGTGGCTTAGTCTGCAGCTGCGGACGGTCCTTCCCTGAGGAGGCGTGCCCAGCCTTGAGAGAACTTGGCTGTGCAGCTGGCCCGGGCTGCCCAGTTCCCAGCAGTGTGGTCAGCAATGAGCTGCCCCTGGTTGCGCAGCATTTCCAGTCTATGGGCGCGTCAGTGCTGCTGTCCACCGACCAGCTGGAGGCAGGCTCAGAGTTCAGGGTGCTGCAGCCGCCTCCCAACTTGAGAGCCTCGGAAGGGGGGCCATACAGCACGGGGGTGGTCCTTTTATGTCTTTTCTTAAAATATATGAATGAAAGTGGAAAACATTAAAAATTGCTGTAATCATCATTTTAAAAACTAATAACATGAAGAAGGGAGCATGCTCAACACCAGTTTAAAGCCCACCTGCCCCTTTTCGAGATAATCCCTGCCATCAGGTTGGTGATTCACGCAGACCTATTGGCGTTCTTTATGCCTTTTAGGAGAAGGGAGAGCCCTGGGTTGGGGGGTTGTTGATTTTTATGGTGAAATTCCAACATGATGGATTTGAGGCTAACAAAGTTTTAAAACACAGTTTGCGAGATTCTTAAATATTTAACAGTTGGCTTTGCCACGCCTGTACAAGCTCACGAATTTTTGTTTGTTTGTTTTCTCCTTTTGGGGGGAATTGAAACCCTATTGTATTGGTCAGCATTCCATTTCCGTCTCTTTATGTCACGGGCATCTTCCAGACCAGCACACGCACTCCCACTCGGCTCTTTTTCCTCCTAGGATAGGGTTTCCATAAGGGCACACCTGGAACATTCTTGGGAGGGAAGAATCTGTCCACCAGGAAAGGGAAGGATGGCCTTGCTCTTGGCATTGATGGGCCTGGCTCCTGCAATGCTGTCCACATCTGGCTTTTCCTTCGAATTCGGCTTCTGGTCTCTTCTAAACATGTTCTTCTAACAACCCGTGGTCCCGGCAAGTCCACTGTGCCTCTCCCCTTGGTTCCTGCTCATTTCCAATTCCATGAGAGAATCTCCTGTTTCTGGTGGGGAATGTATTCTCCAGGTTCCCTCCCAGTCCACTTCTCAGTGATTCCTTAGGACCTGGGCGTGCCTCCTGTAGAAGAGCCACACACCATATTAGCTGTTGGGCGAGGTACGTCTGGAAGGCACAGTGGGCCCCGAAGATGCCCACCCCAACCCTAGAGCTATACCTGTGTGTTCCTTTACACAGCAAAAGGGACTTTGCACATGCCATTAAGGTTACTAATTTGTTGGCCCTTAATAAGGAGATCATCCTAAATTAATTATGGGGCCCATTGTAAGCACTTTTTCCAATGGATCGGAGAGTCTTTTGGAAGAAAGAGTCAGAGAGACTCAAGGTAGAGGTCGATTCCATGGACCACGCTTGCTCTGCAGTGGGGGCCCACCAACAGACAGACAGAAAAGACTGAACCCCACAGCACCAGGAACTGGGAAGTGGATTCTCCAGAGCCTCCCCAGAGGAGAGACAGCAGCTGAGCCAACCCACATGCTCTGGCCACAGAACTTCGAGGTGATCGTGTGTGTGTTGCTTTAAACCAACCACTCTGTGGCAATTTGTTAGAGCAGTTGTAGGAAACGGATACAGGATCCTAGTGAGTGCTTGCTCCCTCCCAGGGGACACTCACGTCACCTGCCCAGGGCTCCTTTTCCTATGTGCCAGCCCAGCTTCCCCTGGAACTCATCTTCCCCCATCTTCCAAACCTCATCTCCCCGGCTCCCGATGGTTGCTCCTGGGTGGATTTTGGTCTCCACCAGGTGGGCC